GTCGTACACGTCTTACAACAATTTGTTCTAAGCTTGAATTATCTGATATATATAGTCCAGCTTGAGGGGGAGTGTTAAGAGTATTAGGGTATTATATGTAAATTGTTAAGAGTGTAGGGTATTATGTATAAATATAAGTGGGTGTATTTGTCTTCCTTATTATTGTAAATTAACTATAAATACAAGTGATGTATGAGAATTAAGTTAAGTTTTTAACCTCTCTCTTTCTCTCAATATTGTGTTATGTTAATTCTCTTAACTTAAACATCATCAATGAAATATAGGTGGGAATTGCCAAACCCTGCCAAAAAATTGATGAAATTACGATGCGTGATGGTGGTTTTCCTTGGACCCTATCATACAGTCACGCATTTTCTCTTTCCTTTTCTGTTTCTATTTCTTTGTGGGAATGCTAACTCAACATTCTAAATTGTGAACGCTTTGTGATTGGATCATCAAATTCATATCACCAATTACTATCTAGTAGCAATTGTTGGTAGTTCTGGGCTTGATTTCCGAAGTGTTTGGTTGTAAAAAGTTGAAAAAAAGTATGCTGGTTTTCAATGTGGCAAACATGCATGTAATTTTTTTTTTTTTTTTTCAGATTAGTATTCAAAGTTGCAAGTGGTAGTATCCAGTTGTCATGTTGATAGGTCTTTAAAAGTATTCCATGGAAAATTCCTGGTTGTGAAGTACTTGCTATTTAAACAACTGAGTTGATAGTATAAGCAGAGACATCACCTTTCTTCCCATAATAACTTAAAAACAATGTCTTTTCTTTATTAACTTCAATCTTAGAAGAGAGAGAGAGAGAGAGAGAGAGAGAGAATGAAAGAAACTAGGTCGTTGATGGATATACAGAAGGGCTTACCTTAGCAGGATAAGCTAGAGAATGACTTGTCCTATTGCCACTCAGGAAACATCAAATTTAATTTATATTTCAGTGTGCCTATCCAATTTCATGGGGAGTTAGCGTTCCATAGTTTATATCTTCTTCAGTATTGATTATTGAATGACTTATATTCAGGTGTTTTCCTTTTGTGAACTCCAGCTTTGTCTGCAGAGTTAAATGCATTTGACATCTTTTCCATAGTTTGATGCAATTTGAGTTATACTGGTCTACATATGCTCTTTTTATCGTTATAGGTAAAGAGTAGGAGAGTCTGTGAGATGCGGCACATTACTCTGAAGAAAACTGCTTTCCTCAGGGATAATGGTGCTATCTCTCCTGGAAGTGCAAGGATTGGTATTACTGCTCTTTGATTTGATGAGTTTACAAGGAAATTAAGTGGTGGTTTGTTCAAAGCATTTTGAAAACATACTCCAACGTCCCAGAAAGTCCCAAAGTATCCATGATTTTCTAAAAAACTTAGAACTGGTGCTCAGTGTACCTTTGTTTGTGAGTCACCCACAAAAACCCCTATTACTTGAAATTGTTCCTTGGATTCATCTATATTTAATCTTAGTATTTATGCTTCTGCTTTTTGGATCAATACAAAAACATGTTAAACCCTTCTCCTTATTTATGGTAACAACCGCATTATTCTTGAATTAAAAATCATTCTCTGTGACAGATTTTCTTAAATACTGTATAACCATGCCATATAGTGTTGTTTGAAAATATGTATGCAATCTTTCGTTTTTATATTTTAATTGTCTCTCTCGGATACCCCTTGAGAAGCTGTGTAGAGGCCGATTATGAAATAGTTGTGGATTTTCTTGTGATGGCTGCTAATATCTGAAGAGCTTTGAGAACAAGGAGAATGTTGAGCAGCTGCAAAACCAGGTTGAGACGTTTGCTTCTTAGTTTGCAATGCTGGGATGTGAGATTCGAACATGGATAACAAAAACAGCTGTGATTTATTGTCGTCAATGTCTTGCTTCCCGGACTTCTGAATACTTGACATGGTAACCGTCCAATTTCCTTCTGTGCATTCCCTGTTTCAGCATTTGTCTGGTAAAGAACAGGACATTGTTCCCTATCATGGCTGTGATACCAGAAATCAAAAGTCTTTCTTACTCAATTTTCCTGATAAATAAATGCATATCATGGGCAAGTGTCGGAAAGGATATATCTGCAGAGTTGTAATCAACCTCTGGGAAGTTATTTGGTCTGTATGCTAATTGTGTATCTGAAAACTTCTAGGGACTGCTATAATGTGATGGTCTGGCAGATCAGGGAGCTTATTATTTAGGGTTAATTATAAATTGTACCTTAAAAGATCGTTTGAGTCTCAATTTGTACCTTCAAAGATCAAAAATCTCAATTTATACCTTCAAAGATAGAAATTTGTATCAATGTGCACCCCTAAAGATAAAAAATCTCAATTTGCACCCTTAAAGATAGAAATTTGTATCAATGTGCACCCCTAAAGATAAAAAATCTCAATTTGCACCCTTAAAGATAGAAATTTGTATCAATGTGCACTTAAAATTAAATTGATAAATTATACCTAAATCTTCTCGTGCTTGTCACTTAATCATTTGGACTCCTTCACATTTAGAATATTACTCCTACATCTCATGACGTTTGTACACGTGTAACATGTAACCTTTTTTTGTTGATATATGTTAATATAACAGTTAAAAAATATGATTTTATTCTAATAAAAAAATTATAATTTCATATTACTTCTTATTTTATGGGTCTAATATACTCTAAAGTTCAAAATCAATTTTACCATTTGAATGTCTAATAGAATAAAGGGTTGCACATTGAATAATATATTGTATTAGATATAAAAAATATTATATAAATATCTACATTCTACTAGACATTCAAATAATAAGGTTGATTTTAAACTTTAGAACATATCAGACCCACAAAAAAAAAGGTTAGTATAAAATTATAATTTTTTATTAGGATAAAATCATATTTTTTAAAAGTTATATTAACATATTTCAACGAAAATGAGTTACATGTTGTACGTGCACAAACGCCATAAGATGTAGAAGTAATATTCTAAATGTGAAGGGGTCTAAATGATTAAGTGATAAATATGAGGGGATTTAGGTATAAATTATCAATTTAGTCTTAGGTACATATTGATACAAATTTCTATCTTTAAGGGTATAAATTAAGATTTTTTATCTTTCAGAGTACGCATTGATACAAATTTTTACCTTTGAGGGTGTAAATTAAGATTTTTTATTTTTGGGGGTCTAAATTGAGATTCGAACTATTTTTCGGAGTGCAACTTGCAATTAACCCTATTATCTAAGGTGGTCTAGTGCAGTTTTTTTCCTGTTGATGGATAATTAAATATGTTGCCAACATATTTAGTTGGAACATAAATATGTTGCCAAAACCGCTAGCACCATGCATTGTTTACAGCTTTCTTTGTAATCATCTTTCCTTAACCCCCATTATTATACCTTTGTTTTATTGAGTAATTTTATCTAAGGAAACCCCTTAAGGGAGGCAAAGCATGAATTTCCGGCATGGGACAAAAAAGCATGAGATCCGGTCAGAAGGTGGAGAAAGCGACTCAAATTTTCTATTTATTATTCTATTACCCCCCCCCCCCCCCCCCCCCCCCCCCAAAAAAAAAAAAAAAAAGGAAAAAAAAACCAACCCAAAAAATAAGAAAAGAAATTGGCAACAGAATAAAATCACCTTCTACTTTGTGGGTTGAAAGACTACCAAAAAAATATCACCCTTAAAAGTTAGATTGTACACTAGGGGCAAGTTATAATGATTCATGATTGATGTGGTAGATCAAAATATTTGTGATGGGTCATGAAATGTTGAAATTGATCATGAATTATTTTAAACAATAATAATTTTATCTTTTAAAAGTTATTTATAAAATATTTTTTTTTATGATGGGTCATACCATTTTATATTGATTATAATATTTTTGAATTGTAACTTAAACTATTAAAAAATTATAACTTGATCTTAAAATATTATTCCCTCTGTTCCTAAATATTTGTCGTTTTACACAATTTTTTTATTTCATAATATTTGTCGTTTAATGAAATTAAATTATAATTAATATTTTTTTCTTCTAAATTTATCCTTAATTTTTTAATTCATTAGATTAGGTGGAGACTAAGTGTCTTTCATATTTTTTTTCTTTCTGAATATGTATTAAATAAAAATATTTTAATCTTGTGTAATTATTTTTATTTATATTAGAGTTATTTAATAAATTTTTTTAAACTTTGTGTAAAAATTTTAAAAAATAAATATTTAAGATCGAAAAGAGTATAACTTTTGATAAATGCTTTGATGCCGACTTTCTCCCATGGTGGGTTATGTGTGTTTGAGAGAGAGTGAGAATGAGGCTTTCTCCCTTGGTGGGTTGTGTGTGTGTTTGAGAGAGAGAGACAGAGAGAGGGATGTGTCAGGATGGAAGGGGGTGAAGTGAGAAGCTTTCATCATCAACTCCACCGCTGTCAAAGTGAAGTGAATCAGACAAAAGCTTCCTAAGTGCAAAGGGGCTGGCTGCTGCTTTAGACATTAAAGCCAACCCAGGAATCTAACAGTCCCTCCTCTACTGTCCTAAAGCCCCCTACTTTCATCATTCCTGCACTACTAGAATGATTAGTCATTTACTACAACCGACTAAAGAGCACTCTCTATGGAACACAGTAAAAAGGGCGGACTCACTTTAAAATATTCAAAAAAAAATATACCAAAACACCTAATAATAGAGTGACCAAAAATAAGGGTTTGACTCTTGTGTTTCCCCCAGTTAGACCAACATGAATCTTCCATTCTTTGCTTCTGCCTTTCTTTTTTATTAAATAAATTATTTGTTTCTGCTTTCAGCATTGCATCAAATTGTAGTCATCTCCTTTTTTTATATATATTTTTACTTGCTTTAGGGTTTGTATGGTCAATGGATTCTCATGTTTGGCTATCAAGAAAAGCAGAATCACTATTTCCTGCAAAATTTTCCTCTTGGGTTTTCTTAAAAGAAACATATTTCAGTGCTTCAACTATAGCAGCTGTAAAAACAAAGAATCCACAAGAGGGATAGAGAAAGAAAGAAATGAAATTGAAAAAAAAAAACAGAAAAAGAAAGGGAGAAAAAACAGTTAAACCACCACAACTTGCCCTACTTTGTAATTTTTCTCTCTTTCTCTCTCCTCTTTTTTTTTTTTGGGTTTCAAGCATTATACTATGTCCCAATATCTTTCTACCTGTGACTGCAGAAGTCCAAGAGCTTCTTCCTCCCGTCAACAATTTCATCAAAGAAATCATCAAGCTGGCCAATGATACTCTCAGCCCCAGATCTCAGCACCCCAAAACAACCCTTCAAATTCTCCACACTCTCTCTCATTTCAACCTCTGATTCCCACTCCACAACCGCCCCCTGTGAGCACCTCCTCTCCAACTCTCCCCTCAGCTCATCCAAGGCAATCTTCGATCTCCGAAACTCATACAGCAGAATTCCCGGTCGCCCGTCGATCCGGGCAATCTCAGATGCCACTCTTTGTTGCAACCTCGCTGTTGAGATCATGAAGGCCGATCCAAAAAACAAACACCCTTCATACCCACTTCTCAGAAAATTGGATTCAGGCCAACAGTTTACCAACCCACATAGCAAGATCATGAGTAAATTGGAACTAACATTTCTCATTGCATAAAGAACTCCCCTGAAACCATTGAACCCATTGAGCTTTGATTCAATCGAAACCTTCTCATCAAACCGCAGAGAAAGTGGTTCAATTCTTGTCTCCATCAGTACTCTGTTCTCTTCCTCCAATCCAACTGCTTCTCTTCGACACCCTGAAATTGCCCTGATGATCTGTTTCAACAATTCAGTCAAGAAATTGAGTATACAGATTCAAACTCAGAAAATTTAAAAAGCAATGAAAAAATTGACCGTGAATGTAATTGTTTTTTGTCCTGTGATTGACCTGTCTGGAGAGCTGGGGACTAAGATGACGATGACCATCAAGAGAGGAAGTGATATTGAAGCCGGCAGAGTAATAATTTTCCATGGCGGATATGCCAGACTTGAGGACATGACAGACTTCCCAAAGCTTGGAGCTCTCATCCATGTATTCATCAAGCCATTTTTCACCAACAGGTAATTGAAGTTTTTGAACAAGAAGGGTCAACTGGGTATGAAAGGATCGGAGGAGTGAGAGGACTCTCTGGAGGAATTGGATTGACAAGAAGTTGTTGGTGAGAAAGAAACGTTCAAGATCATCAATCCCTCTCGTTAGAAAAGAGTAGAAGCCATTGACAGAGTTGGTGGAAGAAGGATCCATCATGAGAGAGAAACTGCAGAGAGATAAAAGGAATTTGGTTTGGAATGAGTGAGAGAAAGGTGGGAGAGAAAAAAATTGTAAAGAGTGTGATATTTAAATTGAGAGGAAGGAGAGAAGGGTATGAGGAATGGACGGAGAGATATCTTAGAAGCTCAGGTTTCTAAGGTTGAAAAGGATTGTTGGGAGCAATGATGGGTGTTTCCTCTAGAGGGGAAAGGATGATTGGTAATCTGCCATTTTCATTGTTTAATGGGCAGGAAGGAAGAGAAAGAGAAAAAGAAAATACCCCAAAGAGATAGAGAGATAGATAGTGAGTGAAAGCAGGAGAGAAACCCAAAAACATGTTAATTCTTATGAGCTCTCTTCCAATTTCTTCCTTTTTCTTCTTTGTTTCCTCTGCCCTACACCACTTCAGATGACCATTCTTTATGTGTATATATATTATATATATAATATAATATACAAAGAGAGAAAGGTGCAAGTGGTCTCTTTGAAATCCTGTTGACAGTTTTTTTATTTTTTATTTATTTGGGCTGATTTCATATAAAAGAATTAACTAAATTATAGGTTGTATTCTAAAGTTACATCGAATAAAAAACCAAATCAAAATAGCATATCTGCTATTCGAGGAAGAAATTAGAAAGAGAGGACTATTTTTCATTTGTGGTTTGAATCTACTTCAAACAAACTCTCCTAGCCATCCAACGTTTGGAAGGATAAGTTAGTCTTACATCGAGAGTTGTCCAATTATTAAATCAACCCACTTAGATCTATAATTAGATAGTTGTTAGTTTAAACTATTTGAGAGGATACACATGAAAATATTTTAATTTTTAGAGTGACGGTGAGATTGAACATAGAACTACTCTGATACCACTATATTAAACAATCATCTAGTTCAAAATTTTAAACGAGTAAAAAAAATATAACTTAAGTATTTATACTTCGATATAAAAACGGAGTTGATGAATAAGTGAGTTTTAATCTAAAATTATCAGATCATTGGACCAACACAATTAGATTATATGAATTATGGATCAAATCTTAACCGAATTCAATGAACAGCAGGCAAAGTTCCATAACGTGAGATTGAGTTTATTGGGTTGCACAAAGTTTGACTAGATTGACTCGGACTCTGCTTCTACAGCTTATAATTCTTCCATTTGGGTATGAGTTCCCCCTCTGGATTTTAGTGCTCTTTGGCTTCTTCTTCCCTCTTTTCTTCCTCGAGCAACTGACTTTGTTCCTTTACTTCCCTTCTTTTCTATTGAAATTTGTGGGTTTGTTTCTCCTAGATATCTTCTAAACTTTGTGATCTTGTGTTTCTCAAAGGCAAACGGAATGATGGGTTTCTTTGAATTTGTGTTCAATTACCTTCTACTATGCAAAAACCAGTCTTTTTAGGTCACTCAAATCTTCTAGTTGCAAAATCTTTTTCCACCCCCTTAGTCATTTTGATTGTACAATGTATGATGCTCCCTCGAGACCTTACACTGAACCAACCCAAATAATGTTTTGAGAAGATTATTTGATTGGTGGCCCTCTGGACCCATTAATCATCTTGTGGGTCCCATTCTCTTATTCCGTTGATGTGATTATTTTCACATTTGATTTTTATTGTCGAGAGTTACTACACCATTCGATTTTTATTTGTAATTGTGTATGAATTTTGATCAAAAAATTTTATAAGAGCAATCCATTGGTCATGAAATGTTATAAGGTGCAAGGATCATTTATTATCATACTCTTGATGAGCACCGAAGATTTTTCTCCTTTTCGTAAGGTATATTTAATTTAAATTCTCAATAATAATTTCTTTTTTTTTCTAGATGGGCATTGAGGGGGGGGGGTGGGGTGGGGAGGGGGGGGGGACCAGGAGATCTTAATTATAGGGGGTTGTGTTGTTATTTATTGATTTGTTTAAAGAGGGTGCTCGTGGGTTTTTGGAGACCGGGACACTTGAGAGAGTATGTTGGTCTTTTGAGATCTCATTGGAATGTGTATTTGAACTCTATGGTCCATTATTTAAGGGCATCGATTTGGGCACCCTTCTTTTTTTTATCTTTTGCTCTACAGCTCGCCCACATCTAATCAATTACAATATGAGGTTTTCTCTTTATTTACTTACACCTTCTTCTTCTCCATTTAATGAATGAATTGGGTTAGTTTGATTTTCTGGTGGTGGTGGCGAAATTGGGGCCCTCTGTTCTGGAAAATCATAAGTTGTAGTGCTCAAATCATTGCCACTTATCTCTCTTATTGAGGTGATGTGATATTGGATGGGATCATTCCATGAATTTAAATCACAATCCCTTCGTATCTACAGTTTTTTTTTTTTTTTTTTGATACTCAAGAACGTCTTGCTTATATTTTTTTAGATTTGTGACAGCAATATAAATTTATACTTTATGATAATACTAGGAATAATATCGAAAATAAGTAAAAAAATATCTTCATATCTCGCCTATTACAAGACTCAATAATTAGATCATTCATGTACCACCTTAGGCAACTATAATTAGGTCGTCTATATTATCACACGAGAAAAGTCAGTATTCTTAAGTGTTTGAATTGAGTTTTTTTATTCACGAGCTTATTAAAAGAACAAGAGGTTATCCTAACCAATATGACCACACACTACAATCTTTCATAGATATAGAAGACTACTATGTTTCTAAGCTCGAAAATAGGTTACAATACCACATCAGCATATTCTAGAACATCACCTCACACCTAGTAAATATAACCTCTAACAGTCAAATAGTTTCTCAATAAAATCCAAACAAACTTTGGAACCATGTGACATGTGATGATGACGTGATAACTGTCCCACATATAGATATAAATATAAGGGCAATCACCCGTGTACGTAGACCAATTGCAATTCCCATAATTGTAATCTTAGTCGTCTTCCCAAAATCAATAAAAATTCTTTCAATGAGTAAGAGATTACATTATAGTGGATTAATCAAACTCTTCAACTATGAATCACTATAATCAATCAGTGCATTCTTCCTTATCTCCTAACTCTTACCTCTGTTCTGTGTTTATTGTAGTATAGTATTTGACAGAGAGGCCACAGGCTCAACCATACATTGATCATTCACTCATTACTCTTACACACGTCAATGTTCCTAAGCCTTGAACTGAACTCTTCAATTCAATTCATATACAGCATATACATCACGTTTCGAGTTTATTACATCATCACTTTATATAATCACCTATAAATTAAATGTATCAGATGAATTTGAATATTTCTTTTCAAGACTTACAGCGGGTCTACCTTGACAGGTTTCATGTACGTTCCTTTGTTCCCACCACTTGAGTTGATCTCATTACAGGGATATATAATAAGTGATTGAATTTGGGTGGCTTTTCCCCCCACTCGTTCTATGGTCGATGAGGGGTGGCATGCATGACCGGTTATGTGTTAAAATCCTTGTACCAAATTCTAATCCATACTTGGTTAGATTAGAAGCTACTACTACATCACATAAATTATGAAATTGACTGATGGTTACCCATTTGCAATAATAGATTTGGTTCACAAACATGAAATTATATCCATAGACTGCACTTACATATACAGGGATGGGAGCCCACAATGAAAATGTCTGTCGCATACGTAAAATTCAATTTGACCCATGAGTTTAAATCGAAGATGATGGATTGTAATGACAATTAGCTATCACTGCAATCTAAATAAACTCCCCCGATGACAAACAAACTATAAGTAAAAGTGAAAAATACCCAGAAGGCCAAACTTTAAAGTGTTCATCACTTACCATAACCCCACCCAAACCCAAACGTGGTTTTGTATTAAAGGCCTTTCGACTTTATTACAGGAATTGAATATTAGGATAATTCTTAATTTTCGGAGCTACCGAAAAAACCTGGAGTTACGACAATATTTCCAACTAACTAATCTAATAATTTCTCGGAAATGTGGTCTTGCATTGTTGAGTTTTGAGATTAAATTTTCAGCTATTTTAAGGTATAGTATTTTATACAACAAACAACAGCAATAAGTATGTTTAGATGGAGCAAAATTGTCCAATGAGGCCTATTACTTGTATATTGATCCTCCGACTACAAGTTTTAGTCAATTGGTGAGTTCTAGAGTCTCTGTTAATGCATGCTAACAGGTATGGTATGATTTCAATAGCACAAAAGAGTCAAGTTGTTGTGTGGAATTTTGACGACATGACACTTGATTATGAAGAAAGTAGGAGATTGAAATCATGTAAATGAGACTCTAAACAAGATAAATAGGAAAAGGCATCAAGAAAGAAAGGAAAAAAGTTCAGCACGATGTGAGTGCGTATAACCTTAATTTTAGTATATTTGCATTTTAATTTGGTGACTTACTATACCCGTTTAGTAAACATGTCAACAAGAATTTCGCAAAACCTTTTTACTAGACTAAAATTTTTACACAATACGAACTTTACATGGTACAATTCATTGTTAGTCCTAACCCTTGTAAATTGGAGACGAAATTGCTTACAAAGGTAAGAGACATACCACGCTTAACCTTGGTACAATTTTTTTTTTTTTTTGCGATGCTTTGTTTTTTCCTCTATTTTCAACTTTACTATTTCCTTTTTGATTTGTCTACACCTTAATTCTTAATCTTTAAGTCCCTCTCTACTAACACATTGCTTCTGCTTCCAAATTCACCCTTACGTGACATGGCGTGGGAGGATTGTAGAAATACGTTCATATCATACATATAAAGTTTGTAGAATAGTACATACAAGAATGGATATACAAATTACCTCAATCGCAAATCCAAATTAAAACAGTGGATCTTACACTTATGTTACAAGTCTCGCAATCAATGTGTGTTCCTTCGAAGAATGCCGACTAGTTATGAGTCCTCTGATATATTTTGATATAAAAGTTGTGTGTTAACAACATTGATAACACAAAGAAACAAAATTTTCAAGATTTTAAAGTGACCTCCAAAAATTATATGTTCTTGGGTGCATATGCTTAAAACTTGAAAGTAATTGAGAACAAACCCACCCATCCAACTTTTCTTTTCTTTTCTTTTTTCTTTCTTTCGGTTTGTGTTAGTTTCCATTAGGTTAGTATATGTCCGAATTGGATCCGAATGTCTGACGAATTTTATTTCTCTAAAGCTCTTATTCAAATATGCTAAAAGTTAGTAATCTGATCCGATTGAATTTACCAAATTAAACATGAAATTCAATTCAACTGCGTCACGTAGTCACTCAAACTCATTATATTCGTGAATTGTATATCGTATTCGTGTCCGAATGTGCGAAAGATAAGATCTAACAAGTTCAGATTGAGACAATTAGTTAAAAGAGAATATCAATTCATATCCAGCAAATTGCCTTGACTTAGATTTAAATCAAATTTAAAT